GAGTGCTGTGTGAGAGAGTGCTGTGTGAGAGTGCTATGTGTGTGAGAGTGCGTGAGTGCTGTGAGAGACTGCTGTGTGAAAGAGTGCTGTGTGTGAGAGTGCTGTGTGTGAGAGTACTGTGAGAGAGTGCTGTGTGTGAGTGCTGTGAGAGAGTGCTGTGTGTGAGAGTACTGTGAGAGAGTGCTGTGTGTGAGTGCTGTGAGAGAGTGCTGTGAGAGAGTGCTGTGTGAGAGAGTGCTGTGTGTGAGTGCTGTGTGAGAGAGTGCTGTGAGAGAGAGTGCTGTGTGTGAGAGTGCTGTGAGAGAGTGCTGTGTGTGAGAGTGCTGTGTGAGAGTGCTGTGTGTCAGAGAGTGCTGTGTGTGAGAGAGTGCTGTGTGTGAGTGCTGTGTGTGAGTGCTGTGAGAGAGAGTGCTGTGTGTGAGAGAGTGCTGTGTGTGAGAGAGTGCTGTGTGTGAGAGAGTGCTGTGTGTGAGAGTGATGGGTGTGAGAGAGTGCTGTGTGTGAGAAAGTGCTGTGTGTGAGAAAGTGCTGTGTGTGAGAGTGATGGGTGTGAAAGTGCTGTATAAATGTTAGAATGGATTGTGTGTGTAGGGGGGAGGGGGGTTAAATAAATAAAGTAGGCATTATGTCCCCCCCTCCCTTCTTACCTTTAGCCTGGGAGGGGGGGACCCCTGGTGGTCCTTGTGGTGAGATCCGGTCGTTGCCATGGCAACGCGCCGGATCTCGCGAGAGGAACCCGGCGGAGCTCTAATTTAGAGCTCCGCCGGGTCCTCTCTCCTAGCGGCTGTCTCCCCCCCTCTCCCCCTGCCCGCTGCCGCATTATACAGCATGTGGGCCGGTGAGGGAGATCTTTGATTTCCCTCACCGGCCCTTCATGGAAAACAGCGGGGCCGGCGCTCGGATAGTGCCGGCCCTGCATAGACCGGCAGGGGAGATCCTGGGACCTCCCCTGCCGGCCTCGGCCCATGGCCACCGCGGCCCATGGCCACCGCGGCCCACCGGGCATTTGCCCGGTGTGCCCGATGGCCAGTCCGGGCCTGATCACACTCCACTCACACTTGGCCAACTGTCATATTTGGCCAATTTCCACTCACACTCTGCCAAACACCACACACAGTCACACTTGGCCAGTCTCCACTCACACTCAGCCAACTGTCACATTGGGCCAATTTCCACTCACACTCTGCCAACCACCTCACACAGTCACGCTTTGCCAATCTCCACTCACACTCGGCCAACCACCACACGCAGTCACACTTGGCCAATCTCCACTCATACTCGGCCAACCACCACACGCAGTCACACTTGGCCAATCTCCACTCATACTCTGCCAACCACCACATGCAGTTATACTTGGCCAATCTCCACTCACACTCGACCAACCGTCACACTTGGCCAATCTTCACTCACACTCTGCCAACCACCACTCAGTCACACTTGGACAAGCACCACCCAGTCACACTAGCTTAAAGGGTCACTTCAGGCACCAAAACAGCTTTATCTTAATGAAGTTGCTATGGTGCCAGGAGTTCCCCAGAGGAACTCTTACCTCAAGGGATTAAACAGTTCTTGAACAGTTTCACCCCAAAGTTACCATCAGTGTCGATGTCAACTCCCCCCCAGGGGAGAAATTTCAGCCGGGCAGGGGTTCCATTGATTGGCTGAGAGACTGGCCAGTTGATGCTTTCAGTTAATCAATGACCCCCATTCACAAAACTGGCCTGGAAATAAATGTCAGCTGCTCTCAGCCAATCAGCGGTGCCCCTGCCCGATGGCACTCTGCACTTCCTGAATCTGACATTTTTGAAGGCAGATGTTGCCTGGGGGCAGTTGACATCGCTGCTGGAGGCAACTTTGGGGTTAAACCGTTCTGTGTGTATGTGAGGGGTGCAGTATGTGTGTCTGAGGGGTGCGGTGTGTGATGTGTGTGAGAGTGCGGTGTGTGAGAGTGCTCTGTGTGATGTGTGTGTGTCTGATGAGTGTGAGAGTGCTGTGTATGATGTGTGTGAGAGTGCCGTGAGTGAGAGTGCTGTGTGAGAGAGTGCTGTGTGAGAGTGCTATGTGTGTGAGAGTGCGTGAGTGCTGTGAGAGACTGCTGTGTGAAAGAGTGCTGTGTGTGAGAGTGCTGTGTGTGAGAGAGTGCTGTGTGAGAGAGAGTGCTGTGTGTGAGAGTACTGTGAGAGAGTGCTGTGTGTGAGAGTGCTGTGAGAGAGTGCTGTGTGAGAGAGTGCTGTGTGAGAGAGTGCTGTGTGTGAGTGCTGTGTGAAAGAGTGCTGTGTGTGAGAGTGCTGTGTGAGAGAGAGTGCTGTGTGTGAGAGTGCTGTGAGAGAGTGCAGAGTGCTGTGTGAGAGTGCTGTGTGTGAGAGAGTGCTGTGTGTGAGAGAGTGCTGTGTGAGAGAGTGCTGTGTGAGAGAGTGCTGTGTGTGAGTGCTGTGTGTGAGTGCTGTGAGAGAGAGTGCTGTGTGTGAGAGAGTGCTGTGTGTGTGAGAGTGCTGTGTGTGAGAGTGATGGGTGTGAGAGAGTGCTGTGTGTGAGAGAGTGCTGTGTGTGAGAAAGTGCTGTGTGTGAGAGTGATGGGTGTGAGAGTGATGGGTGTGAGAGTGCTGTATAAATGTTAGAATGGATTGTGTGTGTAGGGGGGAGGGGGGTTAAATAAATAAAGTAGGCATTATGTCCCCCCCCTCCCTTCTTACCTTTAGCCTGGGAGGGGGGGAACGGCACACTGATCCCTGGGACTGGGAGGGGGGGTTCCCTGGTGGTCCTTGTGGTGAGATCCGGTCGTTGCCATGGCAACGCGCCGGATCTCGCGAGAGGAACCCGGCGGAGCTCTAATTTAGAGCTCCGCCGGGTCCTCTCTCCTAGCGGCTGTCTCCCCCCCTCTCCCCCTGCCCGCTGCCGCATTATACAGCATGTGGGCCGGTGAGGGAGATCTTTGATTTCCCTCACCGGCCCTTCATGGAAAACAGCGGGGCCGGCGCTCGGATAGCGCCGGCCCTGCATAGACCGGCAGGGGAGATCCTGGGACCTCCCCTGCCGGCCTCGGCCCATGGCCACCGCGGCCCACCGGGCATTTGCCCGGTGTGCCCGATGGCCAGTCCGGGCCTGATCACACTCCACTCACACTTGGCCAACTGTCATATTTGGCCAATTTCCACTCACACTCTGCCAAACACCACACACAGTCACACTTGGCCAGTCTCCACTCACACTCAGCCAACTGTCACATTGGGCCAATTTCCACTCACACTCTGCCAACCACCTCACACAGTCACGCTTTGCCAATCTCCACTCACACTCGGCCAACCACCACACGCAGTCACACTTGGCCAATCTCCACTCATACTCGGCCAACCACCACACGCAGTCACACTTGGCCAATCTCCACTCATACTCTGCCAACCACCACATGCAGTTATACTTGGCCAATCTCCACTCACACTCGACCAACCGTCACACTTGGCCAATCTTCACTCACACTCTGCCAACCACCACTCAGTCACACTTGGACAAGCACCACCCAGTCACACTAGCTTAAAGGGTCACTTCAGGCACCAAAACAGCTTTATCTTAATGAAGTTGCTATGGTGCCAGGAGTTCCCCAGAGGAACTCTTACCTCAAGGGATTAAACAGTTCTTGAACAGTTTCACCCCAAAGTTACCATCAGTGTCGATGTCAACTCCCCCCCAGGGGAGAAATTTCAGCCGGGCAGGGGTTCCATTGATTGGCTGAGAGACTGGCCAGTTGATGCTTTCAGTTAATCAATGACCCCCATTCACAAAACTGGCTTGGAAATAAATGTCAGCTGCTCTCAGCCAATCAGCGGTGCCCCTGCCCGATGGCACTCTGCACTTCCTGAATCTGACATTTTTGAAGGCAGATGTTGCCTGGGGGCAGTTGACATCGCTGCTGGAGGCAACTTTGGGGTTAAACCGTTCGAGAGCAGTTTGAACCATTGAGGTAATAGTGTCTCCAGGGACCTCCTGGCACCATAACAAGTTCATTTAGATGATGTTGTCTTGGTGCCTGAAGTGACCCTTTAAGTGAGGCATGATTAATGTTTGAAGTATCCAGAACATTTACACAACCCATCCTTGTATACAAATACAATTAAACTATTTATATATGTTGTGTGATCCCTGATAACTACATTATTTGCTATTTCTTTTCTTTTATTTGTAGGATCTAAAGCAGCAAAAAGATGAGAAACCTCCCCCTGAAGTAAGCCGAGATCTTTAAATAGACACTAGCTATGTATTTATTAAAGGCTGTTAAAGTGTACATCTTTAAGATACGTTATATACCATATATACTAGAGTATAAGCCGAACCCAATATAAGTCGAGGCCCCTAATTTTACCCCAAAAAACTGGGAAAACTTATTGACTCGAGTGTAAGACTAGGGTGGGAAATGCAGCAGCTACTGGTAAATTTCTAAATAAAATTAGATCCCAATAAAATTACATTAATTGAATATTTATTAACAGTGTGTGTATATAATGAATGCAGTGTGTGTGTATGAATGCAGTGTGTATATAATGCAGTGTGTGTGTATGAATGCAGTGTGTGTATATAATGAATGAAGTGTGTGTGTGTGTGTGTGTGTGTGGGAATGCAGTGTGTGTGTATGAATGCAGTGTGTGTATATAATGCAGTGTGTGTGTATGAATGCAGTGTGTGTATATAATGGATGAAGTGTGTGTGTGTGTGTATGTATATAATGCAGTGTGTGTGTAGGAATGCTGTGTGTGTGTATGTATATGATGCAGTGTGTGTATATGAATGCAGTGTGTGTGTGAATGCAGTGTGTGTGTATATAATGAATGCAGTGTGTGTATGAATACAGTGTGTGTGTGTATGAATGCAGAGTATGTTTGTGTATGTGATGCAGACTGTGTTTGTGATGCAGGGTTTGTAAATAAATTTTATTTCATTTTTTAGCCCCCCCCTCCCTGCTTGATACATGGCCAGAGAGGGGGGCTATATTATTCCCTTGTGGTCCAGTGGATGGGCTGTGCAGGAAGGGAGCTGTCAGCGAGCTGTTACTTACCTTTATAGCAGCTCCTGTAAGCTCCCTTCTCCACCGTGCTGTTCAGCTCCCACTGTAAGTCTCGCAGTTTGCGTGCCGTGCGGAGCGTTGCCAAGGGGCCGCAGCTCTCGCGAGACTTACAGTGGAGCTGACTGGAACGGAGGAGAAGGCAGCTGACAGGAGCTGCTATAAAGGTAAGTAACAGCTCGCTGCCAGCCCCCAACAGGACCGCCGGGCTTGTAATGAGCCCGGCGGTCCTGGTCTGTATTATGGCAATGTAAGTTGCCATAATACAGACAGTGTCACGAGTATAAGACAAGTGGGTTTTTTTCAGCACAAAAAATGTGCCGAAAAACTCGTCTTATACTTGAGTATATACGGTATTCATTTTAGAGATGCTAGATCTTAAAGGAACACTATAGTCCTTTAAACAACCAGCTTAATTAAGCAGTTCTTGGTGTACAGATCATGTTCTTGCAGTCTCACTGTTAATTTCTCTGCCATTTAGGAGTTAAATCACATTTATTTCTGTTTATGCAGCCCTAGCCACGCCTCCCATTAATGTGACTGACACAGCCTGCTAAAAAAATGGTTTCACTTTCAATCAGATGTTAACTTGTTTTATAAGTTTTTATCTCCTGCTCTGTAAATTGAACTTTAATCACACACATAGGCTCCTGCAGGGTCTAGAAGGCTATTAAAAGATCAAGAGAGAAACAAATCTAAATTAAACAGACTGTGCAATAAAGGAAGCTTAAACAGGTGATCTCTCTCTAGGAAAGCTGTGCAAGTCACATGCAGGGAGGTGTGATTAGGGCTGAATGAACTTAGTGATTTAACTCCTAAATGGCAGAGAATTGAGCAGTGAGACTGCAGGGGTGTGATCTATACACCAAACTCATTCGGCTAAAAACATTTCTAGTTTTTCATTCAACTCTTATAACAATCAATAAAATACACTGGAGGCTGAAACTGAATATATATATATATATATTTTTTTTTTATTACTTTTTTCATTTGTTTTGCATTTTACAGATGGCACACTAACAAAGAATAAAATTTTTTTTTTAAAGTGCATGTTTAATATATTTTATTTTACTAGGTATAAGGAGATAGTTTGCACTCATGGTCTTTATAATTAAAATTCCTTTCTTTATTTGACAAAAATTAAAATGAAGATCAACGTTTCAGTCCTCATACGGGACTTTCATCAGGATCAGGATCACTTTGCATAATATATTTTATTGATATATTTCAATTCTAACTTTGAGAAAGGACAGCTATGCATTCCTTGTACTTTTCACTTGATGGATCACAATGATTGTGGTTTAATTGATTACTTTAATACCATTGTGTAAACTTTAAAGCATATTTGTATTTCTATTTATTTTATTTTGTCCCCCTAGTGATGAGATGTATTTTTATTTTTTTCAGCTACTTCCTGAGAAAGAAGGAGCATACAGTGAGTAACACAAACCTTTGGAGATTTAATAGGCTAGGGGTGTCGATTTAATAGGGCTCAGGAGTCGAATGGCAGTTCACGGGGGCTGCTAAAGCAGATCAGGTTTGTTGCCTAAGCAGATCAGGTTTTCTGGATCACACTCGGAGGCTTGCTCAGTGATGGCCCATGTTAATTGTTTTGACTGCTTGGTAATTAGAGTATTGATAAACCGTGGCAGAATGACAGTCCCTCCAGCATTTCATTTAACCCTCCTGTGACAGACAGTAATGCACACGGTTCATGTCTCAGGACAGAAAATGTACGTGAATGACCTTTTTCTGGTCAGCTTCTGATATCGACATGCAATGCAAGAAAGATTCATGAATAAAAAAAATAATAAACCTAGAACACATTAGCTTGGTGGACTGCTTAATGTGGGACAAGTGTGTTCTTTTTTCATCTAACAACAAGTTCAGATTTTAATAGAAATTGTCACTTTCATAAATTAATCTTGTTGAACACTCTTGGCTGTCAAACTGCCAACCACGTCCTGTCACCGGTCCTGATATTTTAGCTCAGGGGAGCCAAACTCAAGATGCAGGCGATTGCAAGCCCCCCAACCACTCAAGTTTCGTCAGGACAGGACAGTCATGATTTTGGGGTCCTTTAACACCATTGCAACCCTTTACGGGTTGACACACACTCTTTGGGCATAGCAAGTCACATGATCACATCACTGGCACACCTCCTTTACCCCCTCCCACCAGTGTCTGGGATCTTTGGACACCGAAGTTCAGAGGTATGTAATATGCCCAAATCACCTGCCTAGCAAAGACTTCTCATTGAGCTGCATTGGGAAGTCTGGACTGGATTAAAAGGGGAGGGCTTGCAAAGGCTTCAGACAAGTGATCTGCAGCTTTTCTAAGCTGTTTCTAAATATGCCACCTGTTAAATAATACATAATTAAATATATGCATGTTTTCATTGGGGTTAAATCTAGTAAATAGCCATTTAAGAGTTTAAGTGGCTGAAACATCTCAGCCAGGTTCCGTTGTCCTCAGAGAGTATCTCTGACCCTTGTCAGAAGAGAAACAACCTACAAAGTAATCAGTGTTCAAAGCATCCAAATTAATCCATTTCCTGTTGTCATAGGAAAATAATAATACAATCATCTTACCAATAAGGTGAAGAGATCACTGTAAAGTTCCTCATTTTCATAAAAAACGATAACCTGAAGCTTGACAGCACTAATGTGAGCAAGGACTCTCGGGTTAATTTCACTTGCAGCATCATATTTCTGTAGGCTATTGAAAGAATTGTCAGTAATACTTTCCAATCATTGGTCATTGTTTTTATATTATCAGAAGACAAAAATGAAAAGTTTGTTGTTGTCGTATTCCCTTTACAGCTGAATTTACAGTTCCACCCCAGAAGCCCCCCAGACAAGGAGGAGCACAGGTAAATTATACGACTGTAGTCGGTAGAGGTGGTCGTGCTCGTTACTAACATAAAAATGTTTAATGTATAAATATGTGTGCTATATTTGTTATGTTTTAGGTAATATCATTTTTGCTTTGTTTTAATTGTAAACGTTATTGCGATTCTTTTCATGAATGTAAGGTACAGAACTGAAAAGGGAGGGATAGGGTAGAACCGCAAAGGTGTAAACCGGAAATATCACCAGACATGTTACAGAGAAAAACCATGACACAGTGAGATAATATACTATGTTCACAGTATTGTGTGGTGTAATAACTCATCCCCAGCTCAAACACTCATCGGAATATCATGACAATAGAGTAATCAGGGAGTGCCCAGGTAATCCACCATGTTCCCAGGTAAAAGGAACATGATGTTACTGGAACTACTTCATCTCATTGAAGTAGTTATAGTGTCTGGAGTCCCCTGGCAGCAACCTTACATTCAACATGAAAACGCTTTTAATATTTTAATGCTAAATGAGAGTCCCCAGTAGCCCATCCCCTCTGTGCTGATTAGACTATTGAGGAAGTATTAGCCTGAGCAGCAATCAATGGTTGTGATTGGCTGAGAGTATCAGCAGACCGAATTCAGCCTATCACAGTGCCCATTGCAGGAATGGCTAGGAGGATGTGTGTAATCTCTGCCTTAGCCACACTTCCAGTAGGGCGGGCTATGGGAAGTCAGGGACCCTAATTCAGTGTTAAACTGCACAAAACTGGTTTAACCCTTAATGAAGGGACAGTGACAGAAGACTCCAGGTACCATAACCCAGTCAATGAGATGAAGGTTATAGTACCTACAACGTACCTTTAAAGTGAAATATTGTTTAGGGTTTGAAATAGAAATACATTCAAACTTTGTGTTGGGGGTATATTTGGGGTTTTACCCATGCTGGGGGGAGGGGAAGGTTGCATTAACAACACTGTAGGCACTAAAACCATTTCTCAAGGCTTGCTCCTTCAATGGGAATTATTCAGGAGACAGGACAGCTGTGGTGTGATGGGGATGAGACAGCTTTATGAGAATTATATTCAGTCATATAAATACATCCAATCGAATACTCCAAAAGTTGTATATTTATATATATAGCATTGAGGATACTGGCCTTGGGGCAGCAAGGATGGTGAATCTAGCCCCGACCTGACCACTGCAAGGAATACTTTGAAATGTCATTCAATTATGTTAGTTTTGACTGAAAAATTTTTTTACTCTTCATTATTAGTGATAGTCCATTCAGTCATCAATATGCTCGGTACCTTTGTTCGTAATCACATGATATCACTTGTTTTCATTCTTACACAGGCCCTGCAGCCAACCCCAACCGCTAATATTGACCGAACAGATGACCATGTGTACCAAAGCGTGATGGAATTGGTAAAGTCTGTACTGCAACTGAAAACCGATATCTACCAGCTCCCGCCAGAGGGATACGTGAATGTGGTTAAGGTGAGAACAAAGACACAGTGGTGTCTGTGTGTCGCAACTTACCATCTTTCCCCAAAAATAAGACCGGCTCTTATATGAAATTTTCCCTCTAAAATAAGCCCTAGTGCTTATTATTCTTATATCGGGGAAAAACAGTAGCAAGCATGTGCTAGAAAGCAGGTCTACATTCGGGGGAATTCCCCCGAACATAGACTAGTTCACTAGGGCATGGAATCCCACGAAAATATGTTATGGGAAACTTCCCTGAACATAGATTAGCTTACTCGCGAATGTAATTCCGCGAACCTATAGCTAACTAGCACCTAGGGCTTATATTCATGGTATCCCCTGAAAATAAGCTACAGCTTATTTTCAGGTGATGTCTTGTTTTTGGGGAGACAGGGTATGTCTGTGTATCCAAGTTAATATTCGTGCAATCTGATTTTCTTTTTCTCCAAAATGTAAAAAGAGATTAAATAAAATTGAAAAGTAAATTACTTGCACTCATACTTTAGGCTAGATTTTATTTAGGGACTCTACGTATTCCTCAATCATTTTCATTAAAGGGACACTAAGCACCAAAATCACTCCATCTAAATGAAGCGAGTGAGACGTAGATTCTGCCTGAAAAAAAAGTGTAATAACTGAGCTACAGCACTTTTACATTTTGCAGTTTCCGTGCCTCTTACGGCTGTCGCACTGACGGCAACTAGGGTCTT